TGGACGAAGTATTACATATCAATATTTAAGTATTGAAATCAATCATAAGGTAGGATTTGTAACATTAAATATTGAAATACTTGAGTACTAAAAGCTGTATTTGAATCACAGAATATTACTAAATACTGTACTTTTAATACTGAAAATAAGTAATTAATCAATGATTCTTAGTATGATATTTCTATAAGAGAAGAATGTCCGTGAAATATATTCCATCAAATCATCTTTTATATATCCTCACTATTATATTATAGTGGCATATTTATGGAATGTTCTAGAAAGATTTTATGCCACTTGAGTTACACTTGAGTCGTATAGCAGAATTTTCTGCTGCCACAGCTCTTGCGCACACTTGCGAAGTAATTAAAAGTCCAACTGCGGTCTGTGTTACGAGACTGTATGCACGCGCGAAAGAAAGTTGTACACTTCGCAAGATTGCGTTAATTATTGCTGTTAATTAGCGATATGGCAATTATGCGCCGCCGATTTCGTGGAAAAGCTCACCTTTGCCTCGGGCCAAGCGTTTACTGTACAATCCAGCTTCACTCTTATCCCTGGATGCGTGTGTACCCATGCTTTCTTCACATAGATTTCTGGCTTGTCTATTGAATGATTTAAAAATATTCATATATATTGCTGTTTTATATATCGTAATACATATATAATTGTGACTTGTTTCGATATGATAGAAGCAAGCGACACATTTCGAATTAATTTACGTAAATTGTTCATGTAGCACAGTGTGAGAAGTGAAACAACTATATTTGTAGTTAGAACCTTAAACATGATCGATTTTTTAGTACGACTATACGTTTTAAAAGAATTCAATACATTAAATCCAGAGCCGCGAAAATAATTTAAAATATTTTTCACAACATTAACTCTTAGCTAGCACACTGGGGTACCAAAAGCCTCAGCTCCAATTTACTTCCACCTATAGTACGAAAATGGTGCTTGTGTTATTATCTGTTATTTGTCCAAGGAACCCTCTTTTTCTTGGATTAGCTAGCGTAATTCTAAAAGCGTCAGTCTAGCTGTGGTATTCGAGTGAAACGGAGTGATGTTATCAGAGACCCCAGTATGCCAACTATAATTATTCGAATAATTTTTGTGAATTTTTTTCCCATTTGTGTTTGTCATCAGGGCAAAGAAAAAAATAAGTGCATAATGTTGTACGGCATTTAATTTTTTTTTCAAGAGTGTATCATATTATTCCGGTTTTATTAGATGGCGTATCAGTTACAGCTTCGGTCCATACGCTTGCAGTTACTCGAGGAAGATCGTGAGAATAATTTTTATACATTAATCAAATAAAATTTACTCATCTAATAAATAAACAAGTATACTTTGAAAAAATAAGTAGTACTTTTTTGGCTGAAACCCGTCTTTTCAACTCTTCAAATAAATATCTTTTTCGAAACGGTCACTATCAAATTATTTTTTTCTTTAAAGTATTATATCTCAAGAATACCAAATTAAATTTTTAGTTCTTAATATAAAAAAATAGAAGAGTTATGAATTTTTTAGTGAAAATAATTATTTTTTCGTTTTTTTTTATGTTCTCGAATTATTTTTCATACTCAATATTACATTTTATTAAAATAACCTGTCATCTTTTAATTCGATATTTTAAAACTATTTTGGGATTTTTTAAAGTGAAAAAAAATTTCTACGCAGCAAATATTTTAGTGGTTGGGGTCTCAAACAGCCCAATGTGCCAGCTATGTGATTGTGACGAAATGTGCCAGCTAAGGGTTAAAATCAATGATTGAGAAACAATCAAGTTTTGTAAGTATCTCACTTTGCCTCGCGTAGGAAGCATAATAAGGTAAATTCATATTTTCAATAAAATATTGAACATGAAACAAAATTTCATCCTTTTGGACTATTCTTTTACAGTAAAATATGTGTTTTTCTTATAGGAGATAATTTAAAAAGTATTTTGGTGTAAAATCAAATTGATTTATTTTTAAGATTTTTGAAACTTGTTTAAATTGAGTTCTCATTATGTTCCGAGTCCCCTTCGTTTAAAGAAAGTTTCAAAATTCTATTTGTTATAGATTTTTTTCTTAAATTTCTTCTAAAAATGAATTCTTAAGTACTATTGACCAGAAAATTTCCTTGATGTAAAAAGTAACATATTTAGTATTTAATACTTCATTTAATTGGATGGTCGGACATATTTTTAAACCTGTCTCGACTCTACATGAGACAAGTTCAAATCAAGGATGGAAAATTTCTAACTACCCCTTAATTTAATATTATTTCACAAAATTTTTGAAAACTCGTAATATAGTCGGTCTTGCATGCCTATTGTACGAAACCGTATACGTTATTCACACTAAATCAGACGAATTTTGTGAATATTTATTTCTTCGATTTTTTTTTTCATTTATTCGGGAATATGCATAGTTGATCTCTTTTGAACCTGTTAATCTACTGTGCAAAGTACAGCATGAGCATAAAAACTTAATTGGATTTAGCGAGATTTGTAATTTATACTTTGTTAAATATTACAAATTTCCTCAAAGATTACACAATTTTAAAGAGATGCTACAATCGATGACAAACTCCAAAAACTTCAATAATATAAAGATGATTGTTATTAATACAATTACGCTATATGATATACGCTGTATAGCTCATCTATCTTTTTATATTTTTTATATATATATATATATATATATATATATATATATATATATATATATATATATATATATATATATATATATATATATATATATATATATATATATATATATATATATATATATATATATATATATATATATATATATATATATATATATATATATATATATATATATATATATATATATATATATATATATATATATATATATATATATATATATATATATTACTATATAATATAAATATAATATGTTATTTTATTTTATCAAATTTTATTTTTTCTTTATTTAACGAGAAACCTAACTACGCACATGTATACAGAAATATTTTTGCAAACCTTTCCGGTATTTTTAAGTTTCTAATTTAGATGTAAAAGAATAGCAAGTTTTTTGAAATTTTGTGAGCTTGCTACACGAACGGAAATAATTAAGGAATAACTGTGTGAATTTATCATCATATACATAGATCAAAAACATTAAACTATTTAAATATGTAAACAGCTTTCCAAAATTCCGAAGTTAACAAAATAGGATTTTGACTACAAATTTGGGTGTTTAGCCGTATATATTGTGCGTTGCGTAAGTCACTGTTCCCCATATTGTCGTATTGTGAGCCAAATTTTACTTGTCAAATAATATGTGTCTCATAATAATTATAAAAACATTTTATGACCATATGTCATTATGTTTCGTTTTAGAACTAAAATATCAAGCGATTAGAACGGAAAGTTCAGTGTGAGACATCATGACACGGAAAGCGGAAGATTAGATTAATGTCCGCAGAATACTCGATACAGCAAATGCACATACATAAGCCAGCATAATGGCCTTAATATATATAAAGTTATGCCATTTTGGAGCTTTCTATAAAAATATATTATCCGCTACAGAAAGATACTTTATTTTCTTTATAGAAAAATGGGTTTACTTATTAAGACTATTATGTCTGTTTGTGTTAGTACGATGAACATAATTGACTCGCTCGCATACTTGATTGGAATACTAAAGAGACCAATCCGCATCAATCTCTTGACTTAATTCACTACGCAATTGAAAAGATTGAGAATGATTATTGTTTTCACATGTATAGTCGTAATTAAGATTAATTAATTGCAAATGTATTGATGCAATTTGCAAAAATACTTATTTGTTTCAACTGTTATGAATAAATATGTGGAAATTTAAACGATGAACATAATTATAGTGGAAATAAGGCTATATACAATCATGATGAATAATATATATATATGTGTGGCTGCACATTGTTTGTCCGTATATATGCGTCCGTATGTGTGTGCTATGTGCTGATATGCTACTCACATTTAATACGTAGGTCTATATGCGCCACTGCTGGATCACTAATTCCATTATTGGCGACGCAGGTATACCTGCCGGAAAGATTCCGATTGTCAGCATAAAATCTCAATTGTAATCTGTCATTCAGTAATGGGATTTCTTCATCCTACAAAGAAAATACACGTTTTATTTCACAAAGTATATGCAAGTTACTTCAATTTAATTAGCTTATTATCTAATCGGACACTTTCGCTTCCGAAGAATTTTGTAAACGGGTATTTCGTCTCATTGGGAGAAACTATTATATAATTTAAGTGTCAAAATTTAAACTTATTATATTTATTATATATATTATACTGAATATAACGCGTAATTAGGCGACAAACGGGATCGTTTTCTCCTTTCCGGCGGTGCACCACGCTGTCACGCGCCGAGACGCAAACACGGGATGGAGGACACGCGCGAATTTTCTCCTCTAAGTGCGTGCGCGGCCACGTACTTAGCATTTCCAGAATTTCCTCAATAGAATGTGCATATCCGCCATACACATCGACCACTACCACCACCATCATTTTTATCCTCATCTTTACACTTATCCTTATTCTCACATTCATTTTCATCCTCATCTTCATCATCACCACGGCCACCATGAATATAACGAATATATTGAATATACTGAACACAATTGATGTTGTGTTGAATATAAAGTGTAAAAAATTTCATTTGCTTATATCTTTATTAGTTCAAAATATATAGATTAATTAAGTCACATACACACACGCACTCTCTCACTCTCTCTCTCTCTTGCTTTCTAAAAGTTCAGTTAAATTTTTAAGACTTCGATAATGAATTGGTACTGAAACGATATGGTAAACAAAATATTTTATGGTGGAAATACACAAATACTCAAGATTAAGAAATAATACATTTTTGTTTAAAGAATCCGATAGGGATTGATAAAAATACATACAAATTATATAAATACTATATAACTTTTTATCAGAATTTATAATTTCTATCGGAAATTTCAGTTTCTTATATTTCAGCTTATATAATAAAATTAGAGGAAAGTAGCCAAAAGCGACATAGGCCTTTTAAAGCGATATACCTCTATATCTTATATATTAAATGTTGTATTTTATCGAAACTAATATAAACGTAATCCGTTTTCAGTTAAGTCATAAAAAATGCATACTTGATATATTTCTTATTCCTTTATATGCTAAATTAGCAAATATCGAGTTTTAGAAATTCGTAAGTTTTACTTCTATAATTTTTATTGACGAATTACATAGACTAAATAGCGATAATTATCATTTTGTTCAATATTAAGTTCTTCTACATGCATTTGGCTTTTGTAAACATATATTGTTTGAATATTTTTACTTTTATAGCTTTTTTACTGTATAACTTGAAAATTTTTATGAGAATGTGTCTTAAAATAACATACCTACACTATGCGATACTCTGTACACTTCTAACATAACCTCCCATTGTGATGTGACATTTTTTATTGTAAAGTTTAATTTTATTTAGTTTAAAAATATAACATATGTAAAATATATGAAAAAGTGCAAAAGATGGAAAAAGATATGTATTTATTTAATTATATTTTTCTTTTATAACATTATATTTTGAATAAATGAATATTATTCAACCATTAAATGCATTAATGAACTATTTATTATCAAATATTATCATATATGCGACATGTTATATAAATTCCAATAAGTATGTCGCTTTTGGCACCTATTTTCTTTGAACTCCATTTTCGTGCGTTTTACGAAAACATTTTTTGTATTAAATCTAGAAACAATTTCAGTAAAAATGTGATATTATCTAATAGGAGGTACTTCTAACTACATGTATATATATATTCATATTTATATTTTGAGCTTTATATTAAGACATAACGTCCAAAAACAAAGTGGTATGTCGTTTTTGGTGCCTTCACTTTATCATATTTTTTTTATATTGTAATTTGCTCTTTTACCGATTAAATATTAAACTAAATGATTAAATATTTATTTAGATAAACATACTTTCCTACGTAATTTTATCATTTTTTACTAAAAACATGATTTAATTACATAGATGTTTCTTATGTAATTCTATTAAACTTTTTAAGTAGGGTGTAACTTGTAACTTCATTACCGTTAAAAATTACTTTTTTCAGCAACAACTTGATAGCGACATTATTTTTTCGTTAATAATGGTAACAAGAACGTAACTACATTTTTTAGGTAATTACAATTAATCTAATCATTATTTTTATTGTCATTTTGTATACATAGGATATATATTTGGGACATATATGGAATGAATAGAAGCGAATCTTAAGAAAAATCGTTTTATAACTTGGTGAGAAAAATAACATTTGTAACGATTCATTACTTCTTGAATAATGATAATGCGGTAATGAATTATGTTTCAAAAATAATTTTTCCAACTCTGCAAATTAGAAGGCAAAATATTTGAACAGCAGATAATATTTTTATTTAAGAATCTTTATTAATTTTTACACACCTACCCAACGAGAAAGAAAGAGAGAGAGAGGGGGGGGGGAAGACGGAAAAAAGAGAATATTTATTATAAGTACATAATATTATATAAAAAAGAGAGATTTAAGAAATATAAATTAGTAAGAGCTTTATGTGCACGCTTCAATATTTGAAAGTCTCTAAAATTGTTAAAAGCAAATAATATTCAATAGTTATTTTTGTAAAAATCAGTAATGTATTATATTTTATGTTATTTTATAAGAAATATATATATATATATATATATATATATATATATATATATATATATAATCTAATATTTTCAAAAAAGTTTCTTGAAAAAACTTCAAACATCTCAAACAATTTCATTAATTATATCTCATAAAATAGGAAAAATAAATAAATAATATTTATTGTATTTCGTTCGCGCGCGATATAAAGTGCAGAATGACAAAGTACATTCCTATCTTGGCGCTAAAGTTACATAATCGTGTCTTGCATTTTTCATTCTCTCTCCTTGTTCTCTTTATTCTTTCTCCTATTTCGCCTCTAGTCCCTCTTTCTCTAATCTCCCTCTTTCTATTTTTTTTATCGGAACATTCTCGCCGTACTCTTGTGCAAATCATGTAATATCATTGGCATAGGCAACATCGTAAATATCGATTACCTTCGTCCTCCAACTTATATTGGGGATTGGTACGCCCTTCGGCTCGCACTGCATATTCACTTCTTCCCCGAGATTGACTTCCAACTCCCCGGATGTAGGCACCGTCTCGATACTTGGTGGATCTGAATGCACAGCAAAAAAACAACAAATAAGTCTGTGAAGTTTTACGCGAGTCAACTTTACATTATTTACAGTCAAGTAAAAAGAAGGTTCAAAATGCAAAATTCAGTTATCCTATCTTGTAACAAATCGGCATTTGGGAAGAGAAGTTGAGAGAAAAAATGATTCTAGTAGACATGCACACACACATACATACACATACACGCACACATATGCACATTGAGGAAGAGGATACGCGAATAGATAGAAATATACGGTTTGGATTCACGTGCGATACTACTGAATCCTTTCGCTGTGCGCTGACTCGATTCGATACGTATACAGTGAATTCCCTATTGGGGGATACTACACGGAGGTTTACGTCTCGATATACGTCCCGATATACGTCGTACTCACACATCACTTCGATCTCGTGTACTTGCGTAACGTATCCCCAAGGAGCGGGTCGGATAGCTTGACACACATACTCCCCTTTGTCCTCCAGCTGTACGTGAAGGATCTGTATACTGCCATTCCTATACATGGTGTATCTTTCGGACGATGTCTTGTCAGGTTCATAGCTGTCAGCCAGGAGAATCTCTTCTCGCCACCATCTCACTCTAGTTTGCACGCCTACGCAGGCAGGAATAACAACCTTTTCTATGCGCTCTAATACACTCCACCATTCCAACATTCATAACTCAGCTATGCTTACGTACGTAACTGCTAACAAGAATCATCGTGAATAGAATTGAATTTTGGGTCTTGATAAGAAATTTTTTTACGATTTCCCATATATGGATCGAAAAATATTTATTTATGGAGATTTGACGCGTTAATGTGCAAAAATATTTGAAATAGGAAAGAGTATAATTGGTTTAAGGGTAATGTTATTGCTATATTGCTTTATTACATCGTCATGTACTTTGTGTATCAAAAAATAAAAGGAAATCATAAAAGAAAAAATAAAAACAAAATCGCAAAATATTCTTTTTAAAAGATATCCAGATAGATGTATTTCGGTATATGTTTAATGATTAGCATAAAATTGCAAACATGCGTTCAGCAAGAATTTTACTCGTATATAAAGGAAATCGTTTAATGCAATGAAAATTGCTGCAATATTACAATAATATTTTGATGCTATAAAAATTACTGCTTATTTTGCCGGTAGAAGAACGCATTTAATATGAAATTATTATCATAATTAAGCAAACAATTCAATTAAAATTATAACATAATAAAGTATTATTTCTTAAAGCACATTGTGCTGTGTGTTTGTAGCACTATAGCACCAAAGTATATATTAAATGTTTGCATATTATATTCAGTATTTATGTTTATTTCAATAGCTACTTTTGTTTAAACTTCACCAAAATTGAGAAAATACTACAGTTAAAATTAGAAAGAAATTAATTTAAGATCTGCCGAGTACATTTTTGAGCGTTTCAACATTTCGTGTTAATATTTTCCATCGTGAGTGAATAAGTTTAAGAGACGTGTTATTTTTAAATAGGCCTAGGTTCCTTATAAGTGTATGAATGTTTCGGATAATAAAAGTAATTTTTATTTATAAAATGATAAAATTCAAGTATATGGATAGAAGAAGTAAAATTGGCCTTATACTCTGATGTAAATAAGAAACAAAGATTATTATATTTTGTTTGTTAAAAATGTCTTTATATTTTTTCCGAAGCAAAATAGCAATAGTAAATATTATTTATTAGAAAATGGTTCTAAGTTATGAAATATTTTTACGGTCGTACGTATTTTGTGGTCTTCTTATCCTAGATTATTAGTCAATTTGACTTGGTATCGAGTGGTAAGCAAGCATAAAAAACATAAAGAAATGTTGGCTCTGTATCATATTTGTATAGTCAGTCACAACAATTAGTTGTCCGAAAAGTTATAATTTTGAAATTCTGGAAAGTGTAGCATCTTGACTTGATTTTTCTTGTACGCTAAACTCTTAAATAGTAGTGCTTATTTTGACAAAATGAGATTTTAGTGAATAACACGACGATTCATTCGTAACTGCTCTTGGCATGGAATAAAATATATCAGCGGTGGCTGCGAAGGAAAATTCCTTCTTTACATGCCATTTTATTCTAATTTTATACACTTGCATGGGTAGAAATAACGATGTTTCAAGAGACATTCTCGTTTGTTATCGCACAAAACGGATTATGGTTGGCTATAAATTGTCGGTTTGCAGTTTCGTAAACGTGGTAATTTTAGACTACCGCGTGTGTGTGTGTGTGTGTGTGTGTGTGTATGTTGTGTGTATGTAAGGAGGTTGACAAAATGCGAGTTACTAATGCAGGTGAAACAAATAATTAATTATAAACTATTGAACGGAGAACGAAGAAAGTATATAATCGATAGTTGATAATACCATACCCTGGTCTTCCACATTACAAGGCAATAAAACAGTGCTATTCTCGGGGATTCTTATCGTTGTTGGATGACTTCCGAACGCGCGGCTCGTACGTACAGCAGCATGAGTACCTGCAACATGCAACGACGACAATGCGATTAAATTGTTGTTTCGGCATTGTAAGAAAGTGTAATAGGATAGAATTGCGAAAAATTCGCGCTTATTCCTTTTGTTCCATTTTTGCTCTTGATTTGATAAAAAAACTTATGTTATCCTGCACGCATGTGTGACTCGATGAAATTTTTTTCGGCACAGCCCTGAACATGCACGAGCGGAGATTGCCTATTTTCTCTTTTTATGATCGATTACCATGATGTTACCGGTGTTCATAACACATAGAGCAACTTTCGCATGGCGTGCGAAAACGAAACTACAGCGCGATTATGTTTTCACTCACGCACCACTGCGAAAGCCAGGCCGGGAGAATCGATTGCCGAAGTTGCGTGCGCGAATAAGCGATAAGACACAATTTTATACTTCTACCCCTCGACCGCGGTTTCCCCTCTCAAGGAAATTGATCCACATACGGAAATACAGCCATAATTATACCGCCACGTAAAAGATATTTTAGTTTGATTATTATATTGCTTTGACCTCGCGAAACTAGGTTGCTCGAATGTTTCTGTTACGTCAATTATCTAAAGTGAAAAAGCAGCAATATGAAAATAAATTAAATTAATTATCCGTTATGTTATATTAGTCCGAATTTTTCATCAAAGAGAGAAATACTCTTATAAATATATAACGTGCACAACATATTTTTTTCGTTGCAAATTTAATTAGAAACTCTAATGTCACGAAGATATTCTTAAAACTTGTACATCAGTGAGAAAGTAGTTCTTGCGCGAAATAAATCGATGCAAGGGTCTGTGCTTTAATTTTTTTATTACTCCTCCGACGTGCCTTAAATTCTCCGCGAATGTAGACGCTGAAATTTTTGTGCTCGTTTCTCTTGTATAAAATTGTGTGGAGTTTATTACATTATTTCTTGTTACAGTTGTTGATATTCATACATTTGCTATATTTTTTGTATTACCTGTTATATAGACGCAAAATATCCAGATATAGGACACCATCTCTCGTAATTATATTTTACACTAAAACAACTCACAATCTATTTTATCTGAAATTACATAGAAAGAGATATGAAAGAACCTCCTTTTTCACGTGTGATTCCTTTGGTCTTTCACGAGACACTGATCTCAGTTTAAGATGTCATGTGTCCTGTATGGGTCTTAACGCACACAGACGTGTACCCGCATATGTATCATCGCGTGTAATTATGATCATCGCAGTTGTGCACTGTACGATTCAGGGATGCCCATGCTGCACCCATGCTGCACTCATGCTGCCCACCGAAGTCGATTAGTATTCTAACCGTTTTTCACCTTCGCTCTAATATCAATCAAGATATTTCTGTATCTCATATTTTTATTAAAAGTGTGAAAAAGTTATTAAGAATATATTAATGACAATTAATAGCATAAAATATCTATATAAATTCCAAAAAGACAAATTTTTGTGTATGAATTAAATTAGATTTATTCTTTTCTCTTCTTTTAATTTGGTTAATTTTTTAAACAAAACAATTGAAAAAATGTTATAGAATGTGATGATATTTTGCTTTTCGTTTTTCCTCGATAGAAATATAAGCTGGTTTGAGAACCGTTGCTTTCTATCGTAAAGCCGCTGCTGCTATACAGGCACAGGGTGTCCACCCACGAGCACCAAGGCATTCTTCTATAATTTGTTCAATTTACGTACGGACACGCATCGTATATAGAGCCACTCGTCATGTTATCCATTAGATTGTTAATCCAATAAGCGATTCATCGTTTCAACACATCTTAGATCGTTAAGACAGATCTTGCCTTTCATTCAAAAAAATATATTCTGAATAAAATAATAATTATCTACCCTAGAAACTGTAACATTTTCTTAAGCTTTTCTTTTTTTATATTATAATTGCAACTGTTCTTACTATTACGGGTAATTTGACATATACACTGTATATTTAATATTATTGTAATATAATATAACGTGTAATGTTATTACACGTGTTTTACTATATGCATATATTGTCTAGGATTGGGGATAAATTAATTTTTTTAAGTTAAATTTATAAAAGTAATGGCCTATAAAATAAACTTAGTTAAGTTCGAGATTACATAAACAAAAAATAATTTAATGAAAGATTAAGTTAAAATTAAATTAACGTATTAAAGTTAGAAATTAATTGTGCAAAGCAATATATTTTTTGCATAATTAACTTTTTAATCAGATTAAAATTATATAAAATAATGAAAAGGCAGTTTTTTTCATGAGAAAACACCGAGTATTTTGTGTTTAGGATTCCATACAAGAAAATAATATGCTTAAAGAGATGATAAAAAATTCCGCTAATATTACTTTTGACTTTTTTTATTTTATGTTGTAAGCAGCTAACAATGATTTTAATATTTTTCTCATAAATTGCTTTAATTTAAAAAAATATTTAGCAGTTAAAGTTGATGTATCTTAAGAAACAACTAATTTAAGTTAGAAATTATTAAGTTTTTATCTTTTAATTGATAAACTAATTATAACCTAATCTTTTCATTTTTTTCGTATTGCAGAGAAAAAGTGCAAATTCTCATCTGTTACTATCCAATTATTTTCCAAACGATTCATTTATTCTCGAGATGCAAACAACAATAAACGGCTACGCTTTATAGTTGTATTTTCCCGGTCGTTGAGTATCTACAATTAAAAAATCGAGATAATGAAACACTACAAAATTTTTATGCAAAAATAAATCTTTTCAGCAAAAGTAGATCGTTTCCGCAAAAATAGATATTTTTCACGAATAGAACGCCTGCAGCTATCTGTCGAATTTATTTAACAAACACGTTTTCTTCTCATTCATAAAAAACTATGATTCTACATATTGTATCATGCATATTTAATCATATAATATATTTATTATGTCTCGATATGGATTTTCTACCTTAGTGACCGGGGTTACAGAGATTAATCAAAGATTGAGGAAACGCGTTGTATGATAGCGAACAATACCAGCTCTGATGTCGGGGGGGGGATGTCGGGGCTTTTCAGTTTTCATAGTGGAGACAAAGGACAAGAAAGAAAGGATTGGCAAAATGAGGATGCTATTCGAAGAATGAGTAATCCTTCTCGAGCGTATGCGTGTGTGGTCGTGCAAATCTATGTGAATATATTTAATTCAAGTCCGAGAAGAAGGCGCTCTAGAATGATTTTCAATTATCTGATGCGTTTGTTAAAGCGCCAACGAAGATCCTCTTAAGTAGATTTTCGAAGCAATCTGCCGAGATAGTCCTCGATGAGCTTTGTAGATCGCAATAAAATGTCGATATATTTCCTGTTTATCCAATGTTAGTTGTCTTTTGATATTCGCGCTTATAATAGTATTTACTACACGGAAAAAAAAGATTTGTTGTAATAGCTGAAAACCTTAGTATTCTAGCAAATCTATAGCCGTAATACAGAGACAGCTAGTTTGCTATGTTACAGTAGTCAAGTCAAATTAGCTGAGTAAGTATTGTTTATGTATTTATGTATAGTCAAATTTGATGTAGCATGGTAGATTTGTTAATACAGTAAAGATGATTTTCTATCGTAACTAATGAAAGATATAGCTTGGTATATACAACTAATCTTTTTGTTGGTGTATCAAAACAAATGTAATACATTAACGGATTCCATTATAGTTAAATCATTAGCTGTTTTAGCAATAGAGATAAGGTAAAATAACAATGCTTATTGAAACATTTGAAATATTTATTTCGCAAACCCTTTG